GACGGAATATTACTCATAAACAAATACATTTTGGGAAAATCTATTTATGGCATGTTATACATGACGTTTGAGGGCATATTTCTAAAATATTGGCAATCATACAGGATGTCCCAATTTTGACATACATATCAAAGTTGTGATTGTTTAAATGGAATGCATATTTGGATAAACCAGTTGAAAAGAAGAAGATTGATATAACATACTATGGGGTTTCGGTAATTAGCTTTTGAGATGTATTCTATCATATTTGTTACTTTTTGAATTTTCATTTTTGCTCATACAGGGTGGTCAAAAACGCGAATTGTACTTTTTCTCAAAAATTTCAAATCCATCACCTTGTGCAAGTTTGGATTTAGTTTTTTTATAAACTTTTTTTGGTATAAGGCGTGATTCAGATAAAATCACTAGATTTTGAGTTATTAAGCTTTTAATAGAACAACACACCAAAATTAAGGAAAAAAAACACATCATCCATGGAAACAGAAGACAAACAGTGGGCTAGTTCCATATTGCCACTAAGACTACAGATTTGACGTAAAAACTAATAACAATCAGAACAGTATAAATAGCAATAGCTTCAAGCGTAATAGAGAAAAACAACTATAACAACAACATAAACAAACAACTATCACTACTCAAGACCTAATCTACAAAAACTGCTCGAAAATATCTCCACCATGTTGAATACACATCCGTAGTCTTTGGATAAATGACCGTTGCACATTCCTCAGCATGTGTTCTCTTATGTTCAGAAAAGCATCCTTAATCCTTTCTTTCAGATTTTCTGGGGTCGATGGTAGATGGTGGATATCTATAAACCTCTTGCTTAACGTAGCCCCATAGAAAGAAGTCCATCGGTGTCATATCTGGTGATCTAGGAGGCCAAGATGTAGGCCCATCACGACCGATCCAATGATAGTTACTCCAGGTGTCCAAATAGTTACGCATACGATTATGATAATGCGCAGGTGCGCCGTCATGTTGGAAATACATATGCAGCCGAGTTTTCAGGTTGACATCCTCCAAAAGCAAAGTCAAATGCTCGATCAAAAAATTCAAGTATTCTGTACCTGTTAATCTGTTGTCGAAAAAGAAAGCCCCGATAACTTGTCTGTCAATAACTCCTCCCCAAACATTCAAGCTCCATTTATTTTGGAAATCTGTTTGCCAAACCCAGTGAGGGTTTTCCGTCGCATAATAGTGCATGTTATGCCTGTTGACATCACCTATGCTGTTAAAAGTTGCCTCTTCACTCACTTTATTTAGCATCATTCTACTAAGCTCCATTCGAGCTTCGAAATCCTGAGGACAGAAGTTCTGCATATATCAGTTTCTGCTCCAATTTGCCGTGCACCTAAATGGGGATTTTCCTGCAATTTTAATAGAACCTCCAACTGATGCGCCTACTTGGTGACACTTGGATTATTTATACATTTTTGACTATATTCCACTGTTCCACTTGATTCAAAACGTTCTCGTAGTGTGGAAAATGTTTCCGGCCTTGGATGTCGCATATTAGGGTTGCTTATAAATGCGAGATGCTAGGAAACTATTTCTGTTTGCTTCGCCCAAAACGAACATCATATTCACCATTTTTTCTTTAGAAAAAGTCATTTTAAAACAGGTTTTTATTATAATGCTCACAAAGCTAATTTTGACAGTTTGTAACTAATCAACAATTTATTTGTTTCCAGTTGATGCGATATTTTAGGGAATTAAGCCGTTCCATAACCGAAAAAATAGCCGTAAAACTCTTATGTGTCTAGTATAAAAAAAAGCTTATAAAAATGTTATCCAAACTTGCACCAATATACAGGGTGATGTATTTGAAATTTTTGAGAACAACTACAATTTGCGTTTTTGACCACCCTGTATGAGCAAAAATTAAAATTCGTAAAAGTAACAAATAAGATGAAAGCTGAGGTGTGTAAGTTTTTTTAACAAAATTCAGCACTCCAACTTTCAAAATGGCGAACTGAGGGGTTGCCGAAGTAGGGGGATTTTCTAGACAAAACACCTTACATATTCTAGAGATGTGCCCTCAAATGTATAACATCCCATAAATAGATTTTCCCAAAATGTATTTGTTTATGAGTAATATTCCGTCCACACATGGATGGGCCACACTGTATATGTTGCAAATGTCATCGTAACATAACATCTGTGTCTAGCTGTACCTCGTAATAGTCTTTCGTTTGTTATCCACCTCCACTACCTGATAATAATGACATCAATTTTCAAAAATTCAGCTAGGAGGACACTATACGATTTTTTGAGTTGTCTTGTGGGCATTACTTCTAACACACTATTAGGCAATGGTCACAAATCCCATGTATTTCTTTATTATCGTACGACTCTGTTCTTATTCATGATTTTCAATTTAATTCTTTGCTGAGTTGAAAAATACCTTAAGGTAACACTTCGTCATTTCGATTCTTGAATTTCAAATTTTAGTAGGTACCTCACCTTACCTAAAATAAATATGTATTTGTAAAAAAATATTATTATTATTATATTTAGTTGCAGTCTAAATGATATACAGGGTGACTTTGAAGTTGAGTCATTAATTTTCAGATAATGATTGTAGAAGGAAGATAAACCAAAATATGTGTGTAAAAATAAAAAAAAAATAAAAAAAAATGTTACCTTGTTTAATAAAGTATCCTCCCGACAAGTATTTCAGTGCGGACCTGTATTTGATCGTGCGGTCTTGGAGCAGCATGCCCTCACCTGTGAGGTCTTAAGTCACCTGATTCACGAGCCCTTTGCACTACATTGACAAAGGCACGAGGGGTTGGTTGCACTCGATTGGGAAACCGATTCGCATAAATCCGTGATGCATCCGGGAGCATTTTGTAAAGACTGCCCCCCCGTAAATAAGAATCATGTCCACAAGTTCAGCATTTTTGTAAACATGTGCCATTTTTGATTTCGTTTGAGCCACGCAACACACTACTATTCACTCAGGATTTATCGACTGACGAAAAACATCGTGATAAACGTTTCAAATTCTTTCGCTTTTTTGTTTCCGATGCGATGAACCGGTCAGGCGGATTATATCCGTTGTCGCCAAACACGAGCATATAATAGGCAGGGCGGTACTCAAACTTCCAAAGGGCTATAACTTTGTTACTTTAATTTTACCAGAAAAATGGTAAAGGAAAAAAACATTTCTTTTGATCAGATCTACTCACTGTTAAAATAAATGACTCAACTTCGAAGTCACCCTGTATATCTAAGATGTGCATAACGCTGGATTATTTTTTGACCACCACAGTTTCGAAGTAACAGGAGCCCAGAAGAAGGAAATAAATTTTTCCGAAACGGCGGCAACTTTATTATAGGAAACTGGGTGAACAAATTATCTAAAGGGACATCAGTAAAATAATTTTCTATACCAAATTTGGAGAGATTTTTGAACAAGTGCACTAGATAAATATTTTATGATGACATTTGCAACTAATACGGTGAAGACGTAGCGGTAGATTTGAAGATCTGGACAAGAGAAAATAGTATTGCTATACTCGTATATGCCAATAAGCATGAGACATCGGGCATCACGTTAGGAATATGTTATATCAAATTTATCACTTTTCACACCACTGAACTTGATAATAAAATTAATTAGCAACGTTCCAGTGAATTGATCTAACTGTAGCGAATCGGCATTCGGGAATCCAGATTTTATCTGGCTGTAATCTTCAGGAGTGTCCCAGTTACGATAATAGAATTGATTGACGTCGCACCAATCTGACTAAAAATATACACTTATGTTTCTTTCGAGCGTTGCCTATGGCGGGCGCCTCCATACATTGGCGGAGCCTTTGGGGAGTTCTCCATTGATCACGAGGCTTAGCATTCTTTAGAGCCGATTTTAATGTGTTCGGTTTATATAACAGTTAGATATATGCATCACATACCTGTTGTAATAACTTCTGGTTCTACTATATTTATTCTCTACCTATCTTATCATAAGACTATAAGACTGTAACACCTTGAAATATCAAAGATTATACTTTCTCAAAGCTGAATACACATTGTTTGCTTTAAGCCTTCTGCTGTATTTAGATCATGAGCTAAAAGTTTTTCAAAGAATATTTTGACCATGAATGATTTTTGAAAAACAGTTTCATTTTGAACAAACAAAGCTGAACGTTTTTTGCCTGAATCAGGTTTTTATAAGCAAAGAAGTACATGTGTCATGCTATATAGCGGATGCTAAATACATGGCCTCACGATGCCCTGTTAGGGCAGTTGCTACAGACAGGACGTTAAGACGACGAACTCGATGATGTTGTGGATCAACATCATGGTCGCCGTGTTGAACTCCTCATTTATAATTGGTCCATAATGCTTGACCAAACGCAATGACATCCAATAACCACGTGGGAATATAGAGAACTTCAGTTATCCAAAATTGTCCCTACTACTGGAGTCAGTATGGATTTTTCTATAGAAACCTGAAAAATGATTTAATCTTTCATCAAGCCGTTTAGAGTGTCGGTGAATAAGATCCTTTCAGCATCGCGTTAGTGTCACTCTTTTAGATGGTTGGCATTCCTGTAATGCAAATTATAAGAGCGTGCACTTTCATATCGTATTACTGAGTTATATCCAGCAATCATAAAATTTTACACAAAACTAGAGGATCTGATAGAAGAAAGTTTATTAGTATAATAGTTTTATTAACAAACAGTATTTTATCCACCATGTTTTGTTTTTACTTGTTTTTTCTGCTTACCCATCACAGAATGTAAGAAAAATTGATTATATATCGGCTTTTGCATCCCTGGGTTCACCGCTAGTGAAAGTAGCATATAAATTGTTGGCTTCCAAAAGGTGCTTAACCCTCTTTTAATTTTTTGTCTTGTGTTCTCAACATAAAGCAGTTAGGCCAGAAACTATTGAAGAACATAGTTTGCTTAGGAGTTATTAGGGTATCTTTTGAATTACCCAGTCTATCATCTACATCTCCTCTAACATATGTACTTCATTTCCAGACTTTCACTGCCTGGTGCAACAGTCACTTAAGAAAAGCTGGCACAGGCATCGACAACATCGAAGAAGATTTCCGCAATGGCCTGAAACTGATGCTGTTGCTAGAGGTAATATCGGGTGAGACTCTACCAAAGCCAGACAGAGGCAAGATGAGGTTTCACAAGATAGCCAACGTTAACAAAGCTCTAGACTTCATCGCCAGCAAGGGGGTCAAGCTCGTATCTATCGGCGCAGAAGGTGAGATACTTATACAAGACACTATTATAACAACATAACCTTGATAGTTCTACATTTTGATTGCATTGTTTAGAAAATACTAAATTTCTATAAATATAACTGAACGTGTGGTTTGAGGACATTATTGGGACTCTCCGATCTCGATTTTCTATATGCGGTAGATTTTTATAAAAGTCTGTACTCACCAACGTGCACTAATATACAGGGTGTTCATTTGAAAACTTTCCACCACGTATTTATCGAAAACCACTGATTAAAAGAAAAAACGCCGAGTCACATCAAAAGATTTGTCAAGGGGGACCACTTTTTAACCAAAAGCTATTTCACCCTCAGCTCCCAAGGACATCCCCTTGAAAATTTTTACTGACAAGGTTGTCGCAAAGGTAACTGACAGCAAATTAAATAAATACTCTCTTGCCCTTAGCAACGAATAACTGAACAGGTATAACAATGAATACGTAGGTGGTAGACGGTCTCTGACTGTCGAACGTGGAGGTACCACCCGGCGGATCTCGTAGGCGGAGCCAGAATGTGTGAATGTTGCATGCACACGTGTTCCCTCGCCAGAGTCCCCCCTTTCCGCTGTATCCCCCTATAAGCCCACGGTACCCAATGAGTGTTTAGGCCTTAGGCCTTCCTGGTAGCTGGAGTATTATATAAAAAAAAAGTTCGCCCACGATATCTGAGTTGATGAAAAGAATGCGGAAAAAAATTCGGGTTGTTGTTTGGTTGTTGCCACGTCTAATCTTCCAAATTGCTGTTTATGTTGGTAGTTTCTGTTTTAAATTATAAACGAATTGTAGATTTGGCCAACCCTACCGGGAACATTTTGAGATAATAAAAGTGATATGGCCAATAACGAGCAAAATTTTGAACACTTATTGAAATAAAAAGTTATATTTTCGTGTGTTTTTGTTTTCTAACTGAACAAATTAGGATGAATAAAGATTTTTCTAATTTTCTTGGAAACGAATCGAGCTATTTTAAAAAATTATACGTCAAAATGAAGGACTTCGAAAGACCTTTCAAACAAGCTATAGGCGTTTAGGGAACGACCCTGAGGGGCCGAGGGTGAAAGGGAGTGAAGTAGTCTTTGGTTTAAAAAGGTGTCCCCCTTGACAAATCTTCGGACGTGTATAACCAGTGTATTCGATAAATCCGTGGTAAGAAGTTTTCAAATAAACACCCTGTACAGTTGACTCGACGCGCGGCTCCAGGATTGAGCTTCGAGTATCTAAGCTAAACCGTAACAAAAGTAATGAAACCACTATTTTTTCAGGTATGGTACTTTTCTAAAAGGTCATGGTCAGGTCATTATTAACTTTGAAGGAGTTAATAGCGACCTTAGATTTGACCTTGAGCCGTACTTTCAAGGTTATTTCATGGTCAACTTTATTTTTAAATGGAAAGCTTCCTTTTTGATACAGGCTTTGAAAAATTCCACCTGTGTGTAAAATCTAAAATCAAGGTGACCTCTGAAGCTCAAATTGCTGAGGCTAGGGAAAATTTCTAGTTTAGGACGATTATTCATAAAAGAAACTATTAAAGACATGTCTGTAGTAACTTTTAACAAAGATTTCAATAGTGACCTTGGATTTAACCTTAAACCCCAACTTGTAAGTCATTTCAAAGCCCTTTTTTAAATTCTTTGATGCCGACAATTGACATTTTTACGTTCATGTACGACTTTGACCTTTTGGATGAGGGTGAAAGTTAAATCCTAGGTTACCATTGAACTCCTTGCTTATAGTTAATGATATGATTTCGACATTTTTCAAAAATATCATATCTGAAAAAGTACAGGGCTTTTCTCTTACGTTTGTTACATACGGTATGTATTTGCATCCCTAAAGTATGATGGACATTTCGGGGTACAGAATCCCGATAGAAAAATTTGAGAAATCCCAAACTTTTGTATGCGTATGATTCGCATATTATTGACCAATTTGAAGAGTGGGAAAAATAAGAAAGCATGTTAAAGTTTTTGCCCATCTTCAGCTTCGTATCTATCAACGTTTTTAGTAATGAATTTCAACAGTGCGAAATCTCCATTCTCATAAATACTCCATAAGATCTTGTAAAGCCTTTTTTGATTCATGTATGCTTAATTTTGAACCCTGAATGTTTTTGAGAAAATCCTATTTGACCCCGTTTTATTGTCTTTTCAGAAATCGTAGATGGAAATTTAAAAATGACACTTGGTATGATTTGGACCATTATTTTAAGATTCGCCATTCAAGACATTTCTGTAGAAGAAATGACGGCCAAAGAAGGTCTACTGCTTTGGTAAGTCACTATCTGATTCTATTTCAAGATTAATGTTGCGCACGCATCTAAGTAGATGACATAACCTTCTACGATTTCCACTAAATGGGTATTTAAATTTCACGACGACGTTTCGTGAGGCTTCGTGATCTCTAAAATAACGGTATTTAGAGATTTTCCCAAAGATTCGCAAAAATACATCTGACAGAAAGATCACATAAACATTCTTCGTCTATCTTTTAACTGATCGTATATTATGTTAAAACTAAATATAACGGAATATCACTTTTATTCTAAGTCAAGTTCCTAGTAAACCAGGATATTCGTAGAAACATGAATATATGCATCGTCGACTCAGTCTTTTGTTAGATATGTAGATTTAGCATAAACTTACTTCGTCGTACTTCTGTTACACTGTTTACTTCTTAACAAGTAGTACGCATGAATACAATATAAATATACGTTATAGAATTACAAAGATCAGCACTATTCTGATAGTCATAATCACGCGATTTTTTATCGAGATCAAATTGCATTTGTATTTTACGTAGTTTGGAATTTCTAATTCATTGTATTCTGACTCCTATTTCATATAGATCGCTCTTGCATATCGCAGTGTTAAGGTTTTTGTCATTGTATGGAGCTGTTCAAGTTGTCAGGGAAAACCAAAAGGAGAATCTGATATCTATTCTTGTAAATCTTCGTCACAAACTTTATTATTGTACATTTTTCGATTGCCAGTCATTATTTGAACGTATGTCGAGCTTTTTAGGACAGCCAACTTCCTTATTGGATTTGAACTTTTTAAAGTTGCTTTTTTAATTTTTTAGGTTTATAAGACGAAAAAATATGACCATTGATCACGTTTCATTAATCAGTTTTTCTTGAGCTACGTGCATCCAGCCGCATACAAAGAATTTTTGTGTACCTGTACGACTCATTGAACAATTCAAAAATAGTGCGATCAATAGCGCATCTTTAGTTTTCATTGTTTCCTACAAGTTCTACTGACATTTAAATAAATTCATCTTCTTTATTTTTATACGTAATAAATCTTTTCGCTTACACTTTGCACCAAACTCATAAAATATGGCTTGTCAGTGGTTTAACTTTACCTTCACTCTAGTGTAAGGGTTATACTGTATAGTAAGTAGTAATAGTAGTAACATTTATTTGTCTCCAAAACACATAAAATCTTATAGAAGACAAATAAATGAAGAGCCACAGAAGGGTGGCCCTTGTGCGCGGGTAAAAGAAAATACTTATACAGGGTGTTCACTTGAAAACTTCCCACCACGGATTTATCGAAAACCACTGATTAAAAGAAAAAACACTCACGTCAAAACATTTGTTTTAACCAAAAGTACAACACCCTTTTTCATCCTCCGCCTCCAAGTGTCATCCCCTTGCAAATTTTGAATGGCAAGGGCTATAGAGTGATAGCTTGTTTGGAAGGTCTTTCGAAGTCATTTATTTTGACGTTTGTTTTTCAAAATCGGTCGATTCGTTTTCAAGAAAGTTGGAAAAATATTTGAAGGGGTAAGAACCAAAAAGATCCAAGTGCCGTTATGTTTGTTTGGAGATATTCAATGTTAAAGTTAATTGATTATTCTAAAATCTTTAAAAAACATTTCGTATGAGGTTTTTGAGGAAAAGAGCGTACAATATATTTAAGTTTTTTATTACGTTTCACAAATTTTGTTAAATGTTTGATTAAAAAAAACTCGCTTAGACCCCTTGTTCTATTTTTTTTTAGAAAAATATTTTTTAATAAGAAAACTTTAATCCAATAGTACCAAGAAATAAAAAATAATCTTCAAAGTCAGAGTTCAAGATCATCATTATTTTTTTCTTGGACATTTTACTCCATTTCAGTTTCCGTCGTTAGCTTGCTTTGTTTTGCATTTTTCTTCTTTTTGGGTTGATGAGTCATGTTTTGGTAAAAGGCATGATGTATTGGGGGAATAAAAGACAACAGCTGAATAAGGTTCTCCCACTTAGCGTATGGTATATTCAAGACGGCTGGGAAAGGGGTTGGCTTATGTTTTCTACAGATAAACTTGGTCTTCCTGCTTTAAGTGACGAACACTTTTCAGAATGGAAAGAACGGTGAATATTTGGATACCTCGTTGTATCGAACAAAAAGGATAAAAAGTGTTCATGTCTATCCTCTAACCACACGATTTCTCGCCATTTTATATGGTTGCTTTTTCATGTCTTTTTTGGGTCACACATAAGCCCATGAAGGTAATTGAAGTCCAGAAAGTCATTTTATATATATTGTGTATATACTTGAAATTTTTTGGAAGTTTTTATTGTTAAATCTTTCCAATGTTCAAGAAATAAAAATGTTTAATCATAGCTTTTTTGCTTTCTCGATTCGGTCAAAAGAACGGTCACATTCCATATAGGAATGTCTTGACTCAAAAAATGTATGATGTATTATTTTCAAAGTAGTACTTTGAACCAAAAACATAAACAATTTGGAAATGTTCTTATTCTTATTTTGGCCACCACATTGGTCACTGTAGCAAATCAGTTCTTCGACAGGTGGTGGTAAGTCTTTTATGTACTGCAAAAAAAATATTGAACAATGACTACGTAAGTTGTAGCTTTACCTTAATAAGACATGATCCAATTTCTTGGGATCCTGGTTGACCAATGGTCTCATTCCATACATATATAAAGGATATTCCACCAATAAGATCATGTTACACAGAAGTTATACGTCCATAATTGACGTAGATAGTAGACTTTATTTGTTGAAAGTAGCGGAGTTGGAAGCGTTTTCTGTAGATCAAAACATACAACACGAACTTTTTCTGGATTTTGTATTCCATGTTCTATGCCTAATTTCTTGGCATTTTTTACACTTTCCACCTTTCTTTGATGGATTTCCAATTCGACTTTGCTTTTTGTCTCAATTTCCACACTAAACTTCCGAGTAACAACGTGGATCACTAACAATAAACGGTCTAAGTAATGAAAACACTTCAAATGTATATGGTGGAATATGGTCTAAGTACGCTTGGATCATTTTGCCACTACTTAAAACAGCACATCTGTTAACCTAGTTTTTTACAGCTCAATAGATGGCGCAAACATGTTTAAAAATGATTTGGATCGTTTTGCCAATAAATAATTTTTAGTGTTAACTATCGATATCTGTACTTAACTGATTTTTAATTTTTAATTGTCACTTAGACCCTTTTGGTTCTTACCCCTTCATTTATTTGTCTTGATTTATTCAGATAGAAAACAAAAACACACGAAAATATAACTTTTTATTTCAATAAGTGTTCAAAATTTTGCTCGTTATTGGCCAAACAATGATATAGGCGATGTTCGAATTCCTGACGGACATTTTCAAAAACATGTTGTGGGATATCATGGCAGCTTTTGATGATGCGTGGACGAAGTTCGTCCAAACGTTCAGGTTGGGTAGTAAACACAAAAGATTTCAAAAGACTCCACAGAAAAAAGTCTAATGGCGTCAAATCAGGAGATCTAGCAGTCCATTCTATAGGCCCTCTTCGCCCTATCCATTTATCTGGAAACTCGTCGCCTAGCCATTGCCGAACCGGAAAAACATAGTGAGGAGGAGCGCCGCCTTGCTGGAAATATATTTCAGCCTCATCAAGTATAGGGTTTCCATCCTCTTCGATTTGGTTTGCAATGGTTTCAGTAATAAACGGATTGATGATACTTTCCAACATATCCAAATAAATATCTCCATTCAAACATTAATAAACAATGGCCCAATCACTTTGTTTCCTAAAATGCCTGCCCATACATTGATATTTTGGGGGTACTGGGTATGCCCTTCTACAAAAGCATTAGGATTTTCATTGCTCCAATACCAATGTGCATTCATCACTAAAACAGATATTCTTTACATGAATGGTATTATCATTAATCGTTCTAGTCATTTGTTCAAAAAACTCTTGCCATATTTTCATTTTGAATGGATGAAGTTTAGTTACTTTACAGAGCCTAATGAAATACCAGTCGCAGCAAAAATTTTGCGTAATGAAGTATTAAGATTTATTCAAGAATGGCCCAAAACCTCAACTTGAGCTGCTTTATTCAAAACTCTCCGATGATCAGGTTTTTTATTTCCAACAGATCCAGTTTAAGTAAATTTAGTAGCAAGGTCCAGCAACGTGACGGCAGTTTGCCGAGCACATTGATTTTGGACACCGTAAATTTCCATCTTTCGGCTAGTGTATAAATCATTTTGGAAGTAAAATCTGAATAAATAAATTAATTGTCACAAAGGTAACTGACAGCAAATTAAATTTTTTCTTTCGTTAAGCAAAAAATAACTAAACAGGTATAACAATAAATACAGTTCGCCCAGGATAGGTGAAGTAGTTTTTTGTTAAAGTTGTCCCCTTAACAAATATTTTGACGTGTCTCGGCGCTTTTTCTTTTAATCTTTTAATCTTAAATTTAAATGATTTATTTGAATTTGAGTGAAATTTCCATATACTCGTATATATATATATATAAGTGAAGTATGGATTGTACTCACAGAATATGGTATGTCAAAGGAAGGACTAGCCAGTAAAAGATAACCTGTGTGTGTGGCCATTACATCCAATAGCACCAAAACTAAACTTAAGGATCTCAAAGTACAACACTACAGATAATTTAAATATTAGTAATGTAACTTCTGAATTATCCTACGCATGTTCCTCTGATCTGTTTCTTTAATCTGTCCAACAATAAAACAACCGTTTCGGCTGCTACTAGTGTATTTTGAATCTTATGGAAAATATCTGCATTACGTGTTAATTTGTACATTCATAAAGAGAATTCTATAGTATATCAAGTGTGTCAGAAAAGTGGATTTTTGTTGATCGATTGGTTTTTGCTTCCAGGTGTCAACGTAAAACAGCCCCCTACAAGAACGTAAACGTACAGAACTTCCACCTGTCCTTCAAAGATGGTTTGGCTTTCTGCGCCCTCATTCACAGACACAGGCCAGACCTCATCGACTATAACAAACTCTCCAAAGACAACCCGCTGGAGAACCTCAATACTGCCTTTGATGTTGCTGAGAAATACCTCGACATTCCGAGGATGTTAGATCCGGACGGTAAGTCAGTGTCAAAGTTTGCAGTTTCCTAATTCTGATTTTTGATTCCATTAGTAACTCTGTATGGAAATATGAATAACAAGGTGTATAAAAGAGGAGTATTTTAAATGATGAAAATTATTACAAAAAATGGTTCTACGTTTCCTGTGGTATTTCCATGTTTCCCGAATTGCGCGGGTCTTGTTGATATATCAGAAATTCTAATTTTCAGATTTTGGGAAATATATTTACTAAACTTTTTGATGAGAGTTATTTGAATATGTATGAAGAGTAGGCATTATAATGCATTATTATGATTTACAGCACTCACTCACTCATAATGAAAAAATTGATGAGTTCCCAATAGGCGTTTTTGTATATTTTTTTATAATAACTGTTTCCATGAATCAGTGTGAATGAAACAACTTATGATTTTAAATTTTTTAAAAAACAAGTCATTTCCGAGAAAAAAATATCTGCGTGAAATTGTAGTCACGCAGTCACGTAAAACATCATACACTTAACTGTCCAGTCTATTCCTTACATTTATTTTCCAGAGACATTTTTCGAAGTTCAGAGCTTTGACATCCTAATCTTAATCTTGAACGAAAACTCTTTCAACGTATTATAGCTTGAAGATAGAATTTTTGTTTGTCACTCTCCGAGAGACAAATCGTTTAGCTCAGTTGAGTGGATACAGACAAATTAGCATCTGGTTATGTAAACAGTATAGAAGTTCGATAATTTCTATAAACAGTTTTTTCTCACCATTGCCTATTTGAATAGGAGATCCCGTAAATGAGTTTATGTAGTTTCCTATTACAAAGGAAGTTGCTTAATGTCTGACATTAAATTTTTAATTATTGTATGACGAATACAGGATAGGCTGGTTACAACAGGAGCGTGACTGATTTTGAAAATGCTATGCAGTATTTGTTATACACAATTAGAAGGAGAATTGACCATCATAGCTAGAAAAATTGTATTGTTCTCGTTGTTGAATATTTATTTTCTCATGGGTTAGATTACAGCATTTCATATTAGTAACTGAGATATGATCAGTTATTCCCACAATACTATATTTCAAATTGAGCATAAAATACAATCTGAAATCCGTAGTCATGATGCCCTTGAAAAAAGTCATAAACAAAAACGTGGTATTTGTATCTCTATTCATAACCACCGATATGTTTTTGAAACTGAAACCTACGGATGAATCTTCATACTTAGTCCTTCTTAATATTTTATTCATTAGAGTTCAGCACTAATTTGTTTTGCAAAAAGGTAATCAGAATAATGAAACACTAAATTAGACAAGAAAACTGGAACTAAATGTGTTAAAATTTTAATAGTTATAGTAAAATAATAACACAGGCCAACATCAAAAAATGTTTTTGAAAACTTTTTTACTTTGACAGCTGGGTTTTGTAGGTTTTTGTGAGCTGTAGTGTGAGCCTTAGTTTTTTTGTATCACCCATAGTTTTTGAGCAATTTTGCCTTTCATTATATAGTATAAAATCCGTATACGGTGTATGGTGGAATTAATGAAACGCTATGTTACATTGAATTAACATGGTTTGTATTTACAGTAGGGTACTTAAAGTGATATAATACTGGTTTTAGTTGTCAGCTGTAAATGGCTTATACTTTCTTTTCGATAAGTTGCTTGCTGTGAAGTGACCAACAGTAGTCCCAGATCGTGCTGGTATTCCAACGGCCCTGGTAGCATTTTTCCATAAATTTAATGTCCTGGTGAAAACGCTCACCTTGCTCCTCACTAACATCTCCCAATTTGTTCGGAAAGTAATCAAGGTGACTGTTCAAAAAGTGAACTTTCAGGGCCATCCAACATAATTAGCTACAATAGTAACATATTCTGTGTCTTTTTTATTTCCCAAGAACTTTGTAACGACTTCCTTAAAAGATACCCATGTTTCTTTCTCATTTAAGGTCATTGTGGATTCAAAGTTAACGTCAAACATCATTTTTCTAATGTCAGGTCCTTCTTTCAGTTTTGTTTATGAAAGATGTGAGAACTTTTGGCAGAGATGCTTGAAACATGGTCCATCTTTGGGTAGAGCCTTTACAAACTGTTTCATTAGTCCTAACTGTATATGTAGAGGTGGTACGAGCACGTTTTTTGGATCTAAAAGATTTTTGCGTAGAATGTTCTCCTCACCAGATTTGAAAGACTTCCTCAGAGACCAGTATTTTCTGCACCAATATTGTTCGCCAGCCCTACTGTGAAAGTGAGATTAAGTTGACAGTACACAAAATATCAGCTGTCAACAGAAAAATTATTCTTGCTTCAGCACGCCTAAGGAATATGTTCCGAAGTGTACGCGCATGCGCATTTTAAAACAATTCGTTCAGACGTAGGGTTTATTTTTAAATGCGTATACGCGTTTAGTTCTGAACATATTTTTTGACCATACTGGAAAAACCCCTGTGAATCAACCATTTTAGAGAATGTGTTTCAGCGGTGCTACCAACCTATTCTGCATCCATTTAGACTTAGTTTTTCAATTCTTTTTACGATATAACATCTGTCCAGTTCTTTAAAAATCGCTTAGTTTACTAAATTTAACTATGAAATATTTAAAAGTGAAGAAACGGTGGGTGATACGGGTTTTTAAGTATCATATTTAGTTTCAGCACCCCCAAAAACATAAGAATAAGTTATTTTCAGTAAAAAACGTTATTTCATCGTTGGCCTGTTTAATCCAATATTATTGAAAAATAATAAATAGCACATTCAAAAAGATCCACCTATTAGCAGAAAGGAGATGGCTGCATAAAGTTCTTCAGCAATTATGTAACTTTTTTGCTGGGACTTATGGGTTAACAAGATTTTGAATATACAGGGTTTGTCCGGAAAGTAATAGGACTGAGTAGATTTAAAAAAAGATATTGAGCCAATCGTTATAATTCTTTAAAAACTTTCAAAATAGGCTCCTTTTGCGTCGATGCAGCGCTGCCAGCGCGATTTCCAAGCATTGAAGGCATCACGGAAGGCATTCTCCGGAATAGCCTTGAGAGCCGCGGTGCATGCTGCTTAGATCCCCTCTGTCGTCTCAAAATGCTTGCCTTTCATCGGCCTTTTCAGGCGAAGAAACAAAAAAAGTCTGGGGGGCCACATCTGGGCTGTAGGGTGGCTGCGGAAGCGTTGGGATGCCGGCCTTGGTCAGGTAGCTGAGCACTTCCACGTTGACGGTTTGTCCAGGAGGAACAAATTCATGGTGGACGATGCCTTTGATGTCAAAAAAGACAATGAGCATCGTTTTCACTTTGGATTTGCTCATTCTTCCCTTTTTTGGGCGAGGAGACGCCGTCGTGTGCCACTCGGAAGATTGCCTCTTTGTCTCGGGATCATACTCAAACATCCACGACTCGTCACCTGTGATTAAGTTATTCAAAAATTGGGGGTCACTTTCACACATGTTCAAATTTTCTTGGCACACTTCCACTCTCCGCAATTTCTGGTCGTCAGTGAGCACTTTTGGGACCATCTTCGCGCACACCTTGCGCATGTTCAAATGCTGTGTCACAATGTCATGAACCACAAATTTTGGTAAATTTAACATCTGGGCAATTAAACGAATACGTAGTCGACGGTCTGAGTTCAAAACCTTGCGCACACGAGTCACATTATCGGTGTTTGTCGAAGTCGAAGGTCTTCCTGCACGGTCTTCATCAGCGACCTCTTCCCGGCCCTCCAAAAAGGCCTGGTGCCACCGAAACACACAACTTCTTGCTAAAGCAACACCTGGGTAATCCTGCTTGATAATATCAAACGTCTCTACCGCAGGTTTACACAGAATTTAATCGCGTACCTCTGCTCTAACGAACGCTGCATTCTCGGCTTGCACCACTCACAAAAACACGTCGCGCGAAAATGCCTGTCCTGGCTCTCCAAGTGCTCGGAGACAACTGACCAGCCGCTCATTCGTTAGCTAGCCCTCTACCGTATCCAGTCGGTGCGCTCCGAAGTACAGTCATGGGGGAAGAAAATGAGTCCTATTACTTTCCCGACAAACCCTGTAAGATGTATTTCGCAACATTGCCAATGATAAACTTGAACGATTTGCAGATTTAATCAACACTCCCAAGCCTGATGAGCGTGCCATCATGACGTACGTGTCATGCTACTATCACGCCTTCCAGGGTGCTCAGCAGGTACAAGGCAGTGCTGTTTGCGACTTACCCGAGATTTTTTTGCCTTTTTGCTGTTTTTAACATATGTTTTTGCCGCCACACTTTTTTTCCTAATAACACCTGCCAATTTAAAAGTGTGATTTTTGATTTCGACCCAATTTCCATGATTAATGTTTGTTGTTTTAATCCGATATGTTTGCATGCAGACTTACAGAACACAGCAATGCCAGACGAAAGAGCAGTCATGACATATGTGTCCTCCTACTACCATCGGTTCTCTGGTGCACAGAAGGTGATTTTATTTGCTTTTGATTCCACTTTAACCTTTTATGAAAATAACTTTGTAGAAATTAGAAGAGATAGATAAATATGATTTATTGTCTGAAGAGTACAATCACTCTTAATGACAAAGCTAACTTAAAACTAAGCTGTAATATAATTATATAAGTGGATCTTAAGTAGGTGAATTGTAGAACTCAATAAGGTACAAATATGGTTTACATATTAAAAAGTTTTTAAGTTCACGGCGGAATTTCGTTAAATTGTTAATTCATTTGATAGAGCCACAGTCACTCTAACGAAAAAACAGTGGAAGTATCAGAAAAAATATCTCACTCAAGTGACACATGCAATTTGCTCCATTGCTTAACATGCCTTAATGAATTCAATGAACACAAAATGATGTTATCCTAACCTTGTTTTATTTACTTATCCTTTCACTATATCATTTATTGGACAAAACAGTGCTTTTACCATTTTAAAGTAACTAGAGTAACGTATGCAAAATCTGGATGTCACCTAATTCAGGGCAGAATTTCACTTTATGTAGTGTGTACATGTATACAGGGTGTTTTGAAAGCTGGGGCTTTCCTTCTCAGAAACAACTACGTTGTTACAGTTTATTTTTATGGACGACTAAAAATTAACTACATCTGAATAAAGTAAATTATTAGAACGTTTTTTTCTTATTTAGGATAATAATTTTATAGCCGTTCTTAAAAACATCGAATTTCATTTTTATAACAAAACACTTCTCTCGTCTGGTAATTTTGTGGTAGAAAATCGTACTCTACTCTCCATCTCGTTGGATGTAATTTTTTATAATTGCTGTCGCACTTACTATTGTTTCACTTGATCCTTTTCTGGTGCAGGTCCGGATTTGATATTGCAGATATTTCTTGGAAACTAATAACTCGGTTATATCGAACCCTTAGTGTATGTGTTGCTTCAAGAACTCCCTGTATACTGAAAATAGGTTAATTAGGAACAATCAAATTAACGATTAACATATCTATAGGCATTCAATCTGCTTATTTAAGCACTGTTTTGGAAGTCCATGTAGTAGATTCAACCAATTTTCTTAGAATAATATTGCGTTCAAAGTTGAACTATGTGTAGGCAAAAAACGATTTTTAGGTGTAGGGAGCTGTTGACGTTCCATGGAAAATTATGGCTTATCAGCCAAGCAGCTATCATGTCGCTTTGCACATCATAATAATGCTGGAAAATTAAAGTTACTCGATGCGTGATCAGCAATAAAGACATTTTTTATGATATTAAGTGTAATCTCATTTTTAGGCTGAAACAGCAGCAAACAGAATCTGCAAAGTACTCAAAGTTAACCAAGAAAATGAAAGGTTAATGGAAGAATATGAACGTCTAGCTAGCGATGTAAGTATATCTATATTTATATGTTTTCCTATTATTAGGGTAAATCCGCATATTGGTCATTATATACTATAGAAGGACGATGCCCAGTGGACAGGCTGAAAACCAGCATAAATTTAACAATTTTACATGTGTTCCCGATTGAACCTTCAATAAAAAGTAAAAGTTCTTGCTATTGTTGTTATGTGTCAAGGTGAATTATCTGCTAGCAGATCTTCATTGCCGTTTCTTAAGCCACTTAAAAATGGGTCGTTTTATACGCTAGTCATTCGTACGGAGTCATCTTTAGGACGTTGTAGTCACCAATTGCAAGATTGGCAAAAAAATAAGAAAAGTTATCATAATCGAATTGAAGTAGATTGAGGATTTTTTAACACATACTTTTTTCAAGCTTCTGGAATGGATCCGTCGCACGATGCCATGGTTGGCATCTCGTCAAACCGACAATTCATTAGCAGGCGTCCAAAAGAAGTTGGAAGAGTACCGCACGTACCGCAGAAAGCACAAGCCCCCACGCGTCGAACAGAAGGCCAAATTGGAGACCAATTTCAACACCTTGCAAACCAAACTTAGGCTGTCCAACAGGCCCGCTTACATGCCCACCGAAGGAAAGATGGTTTCGGTAAGTGCCACTTATGGATTTTCCTGAAACTATCGCAAATCCTGGTTACATATCACATCTTGCATTAATGGCTTTCAATGGGATTTATTATGAATTCAAGATTTATGATGTCTTGAAGTGCCTAGTTAAAAATTACCAGACGTCTTTGTCAAGTATTATTATACAAGTGTCGATATTCTATGAAGCATTTTGGATTTATTTTTCCTAAACTGATTTAAAAACTTAACATTACAGTTGAATGTGAATAAATTACCATCTACAAAACGACGATATCTCAGCTGGTAGGCTACAGCCGTTTGAATGTTTTCGACTGTCCCAAAATGAGTTCCCTTGAGGTGATTTTTCAACCGACGATCTGAACGCACAAGGTCCCAGCTTCTATCTGTCATCGGTTCTTGAAGATGGAGGCCTTCCGTTTCAGTCGCCTCTCTCCCGTCTGAAAATGTCTTAAACCACCGAAAAACCTGGACTCTTGACAAAACACTTATTTCCGTAGACTTGTTTAGCAAGAGTTTCACGGCAATGTGACCAAGCCTGAAGCAAAACCCTGATAGCACACCGATGCTTGAAATTTTTATCACTCACTTTTAGAACATAAAACTGTTTCACAAAAAAATCGCTACGGAGAACCCGATGATTCGGACGAGTTCAAACTTGTGCTGAAGGCGGATCACATGTTCCCCTGTGTCCCCCCAAGCCCGGCGCCTCCAGTGTTTGCGATATGGAACGCTACGTTGCCGATCTCATAACTTAATTTACAGACCTCCTACATAACAATTTTTCAAAGGGTATGCGGTGTTTATAATTTTCGTGTTTTATATAATTTTTTAATCTGGTTTGTTTTAAATTAAATATATGTATTTTACGAGTTCATTATTAGGCATTTTGTGCAACCATGGTTTCAATGTCTTTGTGAATGTATCCTTTTGACATTTTTTAATTTCGTTCCGAGGTTTGCTATGTTTTAATGGAGCTTGATAAATGAAAGATTTCAACATAATATCGTTTTTAGGTGTACTTATGTTCATTTGATAATTTCTGTTCCTAGTATTGTAATGATAATTTTTGTAGGATATGATATTTTTGTTTTGATCTAAGATGATTCTTCCGAGATATAGTTTTTGAATAATGAGAATTTCTGTTTCTAAGTACAGAAGTTCGGTTGAATATATATTTGTAATAGTTTTCATACTCAATTTTTTTGTGAGAAAACATGTAAAATAAGTAACTCTGTGACAAAGTAGATAGATGCCAGGTACATGTGATCTGACAGATTTTTCATAGAAATTTGTTACCACATTTATTTTTACAGGATATTGCGAATGCATGGAAAGGCCTGGAACATGCAGAAAAGGCGTTCGAAGAATGGCTTCTCTCAGAAATGATGCGTCTGGAACGTTTGGAGCATCTGGCTCAGAAATTCAAGCACAAAGTAGGTATTGCTGTTAATTAGGTACACTCCATCCCATTTCATTACCTAAAAATATTTGACCAGTTCTCATTAACCTCCAGCTTACTAGATTGTTTTTAACTAGCTTAAGTGCGGATCTACATTAAGTAAGATACCTCTTCAGTATTGAGATCTAAACTTTTCTTGTTAGTTTGCAATTTACCTTCCAATTTTTTGAAAATATTGCAACTGATTCATCATCACTCCATTTTACATTCTATAGGCAATGTAGTTATCATCATATTTTAATTTTCTGTTTTTTCAGTATTTATAGGCGATACCCGATATCGAAATAGGAATGTATTTATCTTGAGAATGCAGTATTCTCTCCGTTCCGTTTCCAAATAGAGGTTATCCGTTGGTTACATTACAGGCGGACGCTCACGAAGAATGGACCAGAGGCAAAGAGGAGATGCTCCAAAGCCAGGACTTCAGGCAGTGCCGTTTGAACGAACTGAAGGCTTTGAAGAAGAAGCACGAAGCGTTCGAATCGGATTTGGCCGCCCACCAGGACAGAGTCGAGCAGATCGCCGCCATTGCGCAAGAATTGAAGTGAGAGTTATTTTTGATTAGTGTTTATGTTATCCTACCCGTCGACCACGCATATGCGCCAATCTATTTTATAAAAACTCCAGTTGTTTGGCTGTTCCAAATTCTCGTGAAAAATTGCCAACGCGCTCTGCGTGAATGCGAATGATTAGGGGGCTTGTTAAGTTATGACATGTAGATTTTCAAAGTGTTTCTTTTTTTGATTTTTGACGTTAATAAGATCTGTTTCATATAGAAAATATTTGTAGCTATGTATTAGACCCCAAATACGTGATAACTCACGGATGCTAAGACATGTATACTACAAAAATAAAAAAAATGGCTTTGGATAACAAAATAGTCGGTCAAACCCAGTATGAAATATGAATGACATCTAGATGTGACCTTATAATTGAGCTTGAGCTTATCCGTGTAGCCACAGCTTCTATGAAAATTGCCGTTTTGGTAAGCTCTTACAGATAGAGCAGACAACACTACTGAGGTCCAAGTACAGGTTAATGCTACCAAAAGACAGTGTATCTGATGAACAAGATGCGTCCTAGCGCTCATCCGTTTTGATGAATGGTTGTTCATTTCGGCCAGCTCTCCGAGGATTTGACATGGCACGAACACAACTTGTCAATAACGGCAGCTGCTGGGAAGAAGCTGGGCTTTTACTTTACTTTTCTCCACATGACTGTACAAGGCCCAGATAAAACCGAACCTTGAGTAGTGCTCAGATGTTTGGGGTGCTGCCCCTCCGACTGCCTTATCCATGCTTGATGCTGTTCAGAGGACGGCTGTCCGAGTGATCGATGACTTTTTAAAAACGGACAGTCTTGGGACCCTTTCGCACTGGCGGCGGCGATTTAGCTCTATTTTACCGCTACGCCAATGAGCTTTGCTCCTCAGAGCTCTCCTCCATGATTCTGCCGCGATATTTGCCTGTCAGACAGACCCACCTGACTTCAGCCTCCCCTCCTAACCGTGTCGAACTTCGTACATTCAGAACTGGCCGATACGACCTAGGGTTTCGAGATTGTGGAACAATCTACATGAGGAGGCTTTCCCTAGTTCTACTAACCCTAGGCAGTTCAAAAAGTATTAACAAACTTTATTAAGCTTCTCATAGCAGCCGCGGCGCCCTGGCATTTAGGTTTCTGCCTGCGTGGCTGCGTCGGTTTAGAAAAACATTTTTAGAAAAAAATCAGCATTATTGGTTGTGGAGATCCAAACCCTATGAGCATTCACGGCAACTTTATTTTGGGATATACACGTCCGTATTTTCCCCTTCTTTGGGATTTTGTGGTTGAAAAGTTAGAATTCGCGTGATATGTATATTCAAGAACGAGCCGACGTATCGATTTCATCACGATCAGTTTTAAAAGAAACAAAACGTAAAAACATGGGCTCTATGTACTATATGCCCAACAATTGTCCCATTTCTAGAAAGATATACTAAATTTTTTACAGTCATAACTGTATAAAAGATAAACAGCAAAGGAGAAATAGTGGAGAGGCTGTTTTGATGTTTTCCTTGTTTATACAACTGATACCAAAATAAGGTTGTAAATCAGGAAGCAGGAATCTGCTAACCGCCAGTTTTGCAAATTCAGAGAAAACCTCTAGAGAAACTAGTTATATACAGAATTTGGTTAATTCTCTTCGATGCATAATTATAATTTTTATTATAATTGTCCCAAAAATGTTATGTAAAATCTGCGGTCTTATGTGCACATTGACGCCTGTAGGGGACCAAGGAGACTCGCGATCTTTCCTGTGAATCTGACTGGCCCTTGAAATTTGCTTATTAAAAGCACTGCAGATTTCTATGATTTGGTCCGTCTTCCCATGAGAAATGTTGCTGCCATCGCTCTTGGAAAAATTTTGATACTGATACACTTTCACAAATGTTGCCTCTCTCTATAACCGCCCCCACCCGCCATGTATTTGCATTGGAAATACACCAGGGTCCTGTGATTCCCCTTAAGAATGATTAAATACGAGGTCTGTAAATTAAGTAATGACTCTGTCTTTGTTTAATTTTCTTATGCAGATATAATTACAGTTTCATGTTGCTCCCCTCAAAATAACATCGTTCTGTAGTCACACAGCACTGCAGACGGTTCTTCCACTCCTCATAACAGTTCTGAATCTCGGATTCTGGAATTGCCTTCAGATAGTCAGATAGTCAGTTACAGCCATTTAAATGATTTCGACTGTCCTAAATGGTTTTTCAATCGGGTGAATAAGGAGGCGGAGGAGCCACAGGAATGTTTTCACTGGCCAAAAACTCCTTTATTGATATGATGAACGGTGGTGTAAGTCAAATTTAACTCTTCCCCAATCATTCTGACTATAACCGACGATCTGAGCACACAGTACCCGGACTCGATATTTTCATCGGTTCTTGAAGATGAAGGTCTCTCCCTTTTGAAAATGCCTTCAACCACCGAAAAACGTGGGCACTTGACCAAAACACTATCTCCGTCAGCCTACTTTAGTTTAGCAAGAGTTTCTGATGCACTGTGCCCGAGTCTGAAACAAAATCTCATAGCACACCATTTCTCAAAATTGATATCACATGTTCCCCTGTCTCCCCTCCAAGCCCTTGCGCCTCCAATGTTGCCAGATCGAAGGCTACGTTGCTAGTCTCATTACCAGACCTCGTATCTGCAAAAACGTCTACAAAAAAGTGTTTCTGTTGTAAGTATGCAGATAATAATCTGTTGCACTTCCAGCACTCTAGAGTACCACGATAGCGCGACCGTGAACGCACGCTGCCAGCGCATCTGCGATCAATGGGACCCGCCTGGGTGCTCTGACCCAGCGAAGGGAGACAGGCATTGGACGAAGCGAGCGCATCATGGAGAAGATCGACATCCTCCATCTGGAGTTCGCCAAACGGGCAGCTCCATTCAACAACTGGTTGGACGGAACCAGGGAGGACCTGGTGGACATCTTCATCGTACATACCGTCGAGGAGATACAGGGCTGATCGACGCACACAATCATTTCAAGGTGAGTTAGAATCGACTATTATTTTCAAGACAAGTAAAATGGGTAGGTTAACTCTGCACTACTCACGCAACGCTGTGTCGTCAATTCATGAGGGATCGGCACAAGTTAGTCCCTCGTAGAAAAAAGTTGGCTTAAGAACATATAACAGGAATGTCAGTCAGACAGGCTCATATAAAAGTACTGACTATCAGCAACCTGGCAACGCAGCACGGCGATGCATACATGGATATAAACACGGCGCATCATCTCTCAGTGGATCAGTTTTCAGTTATCCCTCCACTTTCAAAACAGACTGAAGTACACCCTCGATGCGTTGTTCAGCACGCGTATAATCAAGAGATAGTAGTTTATTGAGGAAAACGAGTAGTTCACAAGTCTACCACCTCTCTTCTTTCCTCAATCCTCGAAAAACGAGCATGCCTGAAAAACATAGTTACTTTATTTAGGTTTTTAATTTCTAGGCAACATTAGGAGAAGCAGACAAAGAATACCAAAGCATTGTAGGACTGGTTAGAGAAGTTGAAGCCATCGTTAAGCAGCACCAAGTACCTGGAGGTTTGGAAAACCCCTACACAACTTTGACAGCTCACGTAAGAATCGTTGCTTGAAAATACTTGTCAATAAAACATCATCATCATAGTTTTCATTAGGAACTTCCACTAGATCGAAAATACTCCATAATGTAAAGGCCAATGCTACTACTAGTCTTAGCGATAATGGAGATAGTATAGTTAGATTATTTATTCGTAATTTTTTTATTTTAATTGCTTTGTTCTTTATTATTCCTTAGTCCAGTTTTTTAACCAAGTACTGCACTATCATTCTCATCACTTCACTCATCATCATCGCCCTAATGTTCCAAGTAGTAATTTAGATATTTTTTCTCAATTCTTGCCCCTAAATAAGGAAGGCTTTGGTGGTGATTTAGAGGTAAAATGTCAGTGTATCGATGAACTATTATAAACTATGCTAAAACTATGATGATTTTCAGGATTTGACAAGGAAATGGGGAGAAGTTAGAACTCTCGTTCCCCAGAGAGATGCTACTCTACAGGCCGAACTTAGAAAGCAACAGAGTATCCTTTTACTGTTTTGGTCGTATGGCTTAATGAAGATTTTATGATTAAATTCAATCAGTTCAAGATAACATGGAGTTTCTGACTCTCAGAAAATATCAGATATACTGCAAACAAATAAGTGGTTGAATGCTCCCACGATACGTATTGAACTTGTGTGGACAGGCGCAAAAAACAGTTCAGTACTCTCAGAACTCAGAAACTCTTGTTCTTTCATTGATAGGCGACAAATCAAATCACTAATTGATACTGAAGTAGATTGGATGGTTTGCGGATTTGAAAAACAATTTTGGGTTTGTTTGTTTGTACTCATGTCCATGAATGTTTCCTTAACTACTGCAATATAGATAACGAAACTCTTAGACGTCAATTTGCTGAGAAAGCTAATGCTGTGGGGCCATGGATTGAACGTCAACTGGATGCTGTTACTGCTATTGGTAAGAATTTATTTTTTACCGTTCCATCGTGTTTCAATGATGATTTTAGAAAATAAATATGCACCAAAAAGGTGTTTCCTTGAGATCAACCCAGAAATTGTCTATTTAAAAAAATCATTATTAAAATTGACTTCAGTACATATGGACGGCTTACTGTGCCCTGTCCGATCAAATCCTGTATTCAATCTTCTATGATTTTTACATGATTGTATTTATTTTCAGGAATGGGAGTTCATGGAACACTGGAAGACCAACTGCACAGACTTAAAGAATACGAACAAGGAGTTTATGCTTACAAGCCACACATTGAAGAACTGGAAAGGGTGCACCAGGCTGTACAGGAAAGCATGATATTCGAAAACAGGTAAACAGAATACAAAATTTCAGATGTTATATTTTGAAAGAGTAGATAAGTTGACTCGAGTGCTGTAATACTTCTAATGCGCATTATCATTTTAATCTTTATGTTCGCTTTTTTCAATGCATCCAGTGAGGAAGAGAGGTAAGCATTGGCGAATCTTGTAGTATAAGCCTAATCTTTTTAGGAGAAAATACCCCTGGTTTGCGAAATAATTGTAAAGTCTAGTTTTATTGCTGCAAATTGTTCAAGGGAGTTTTAAACATGGACGCATAAAATGGGTACACCAATTTTAGTAGGAAAACTTTTTATTCGACAACAAGGAATGAGAAAACGTGTTTTTTGGAAGAAAACAGATAGTGTTAGCAGAAACGAAAAAACTCCTATATAAGGTTTTTAGGTATTTATGGGACCTACAAAATGAGACCACACCTAAAAAGATCCGACCAATAGCAAAAAAGTTATGGCCCAAAAGCGAGGCGAACTGCAAGTTTTGGCACTTGTTGGTAATGCGACGATGGTTTCACGCAGGTACTTGAAATTCTTCAAATTCGTACTTCTAAATAACCACAACAAAATTGGAGTAGATTGGTCAAGTAGTTTTTGAGAGTCTCTAATTGTTTAACCCAAAACACCTGTTTTCCGGCCATCACTACTAGTTTATTGAGCAATATACAGGGCTAGTTCAGAGGGCATTTTATAGCAAAATACACTAGTTTACCTTGCCGATATGAATCGTAAACCATTCCGGAAGGCTACGGTTTTTCTTCTAAACAAATTTAAGCATTTCGTATTTGTGAGTAATTCACAACAAAAGATGAGATAGACACATCCACTTTGTTTTAAAATGTGTATAGTAATGTATGTTTTTCGAATATCGTAGCGCATTTGTTTAATTACTCACAAATACGAAATGTTTGAATCTGTTTAGAAGAAAAGAAAAAAAGGAACCTTTGTTTTTCGCATAAAAATAACATTTATCTCCCAATGGTTTGTGATTCATATCGGCAAGATGCACACGTGTATTTTGCTATTAAATGCTCTTTGAATGAACCCTGTATATTGCTCAATAAACTAGTAGCGATGGCCGAAAAACATGTGTTTTGGGATAAACAATTGGAAATTCTCAAAAAAACTACTTGACCAATATAATCCAATTTTGTGGTTGTTATTCGGAAGTATGAATTCTACGGATTTGAAGAATTTGAAGTAGTTGCTTGAAATTATCGTCGCATTACTAAGTGCCAAAACCTGCATTTAGCCTCGTTTTTCGGCCATAACATTTTTGCTATTAGTTGGATCTTTTTACGTGTGACCTCATTTTGTAGGTCTCATAAATACTTAAACATCTTATATGAAAAGTTTTTTCGTTCCTGTCAACACTTTCGATGGAATAAAAAAAAACACGTTTTCTTATTCTTTGTTGTCAAATAAAAAGTTCTCCTACAAAAATTGGTGTTCCCTTTTTATGGGTACATGTTTTAAATACTCCCTTGAACAACTCGCAGCAATAAAACCAGTCTTATTAATTATTTATGCTAAATTTTCTAATATGAAAATTTATTCTGGATATTCCAATAAACGCCTCTGGAGATAGCATACAAGTATTACATAAGCAGCACTAAAGAGGGACGGGTCTTTCCTTGCTAATTTTTGTTGACATGAGGGAGGAAGGGGGCTTCTGTATGGTGATTACCCCAGGAATATTTATTTTTTACTTTTTCGGATATTCTAAAAATCCTACAATTGTAGGACACCTGTATGGCCTTCTTGCCTTTAATAGTCTTTTCTCTCATTCGGAAAGGCTGGGGTATTTTAGATGTCTACTGTTCCGTGTCAATGGCAGCGCTCTCCTATTCTGAGATTGTTTTCTTTTCAATCTTTAGAAATTTCAGGCTGATAAAACGGATGATAAAAACCAAGCCTGAAATTTCTTAGAATTCAAAAAGAAAATATAACATCAAAATAGAGCGCTGACACGAAACAGTATCTATCTAGAAATACCCCAGCCTTTCTGAAGGACAGAACAAACTATGAAAATCAAAGAGGCCATCATAAAGGCGTTCTAAAATAATTGTAGGAAGGACTGACGACCTTGGTCGATTTTGATTCGGCAACCCTGCTTATCTATGCTGGCTCAGAAAGAACGATGTCGATATTCCAAAATCACATTACCAAAA